CCCCCCCCCAACTTAAGAGTACAAAGAGGCTGTTAAAGCCATGCATTCATAGTCACATATAGTACCACAATTTTTATGCGAGTCTGATGCTCACAAGTGTCTCATATCCTCAGGAGTTGCATCCCTATTGCCACATGCAGGGTTCACCACAAAGCAGGCTGTTGGGTACTAGGACTGGAGCACTGAAGGGTCTTGCACTTACAATCTAATGTTGGTGGTCAAGATTTCTCAAAATCACGGAACATGGAGAATAACAACAATCCACCACTTATCCTTGTTCAAAATTGCTTAGAATAAACTTCCATAAAGAAGCCTCATACAAATAAGTCAGCAAGCAGGTATAGAAGCAAGTTTAACAGATATCTACGATTGCCCCTCATGTTCACAGATACAGGGACAGAGCTTTTAGTTCAGCTTCTAATCTCCAAACGGCATTGTTTCTGTGGTTGGGTACTAGAACTACATGGTTAAATTAATACATCATGTTGGTGTATAGATATAAATTTTAAAAATCATCATTAAAACAGTATTGGGTCCAAAAGTCCTTCAGTTACATAATCTACTCGGATCCATAAACTGATTTAAACCAATTGGGAGATGGCAGATAAAAAAGCCTCTGTAATTTAGACCTCACAGTCCAAGTTTCAGCCTAGAGCAAAGTTTTATGGCTTTGAAAACTGGGATTTATTAATAGGAAATACTAACAAACGCTTAATGAAACAGTCTCAGCACAGGATGTGTTTTCTTATAGTGCCACCTACTGGGTCATAAGAAGACTTACATATAACCTTCAAACTGTATCGGGAAAAAGAACAAAGCCATTCAGAAGAAATTGCTCCCCCTGTCCAATTCCTTGATACAAATGGCAAATATACATAGATACACATAAGAGAACACCCTGCCTGGCCAGTTTTGAAACACAAATTCCAAATACAATCTGCCACCCAGAAGTGTTAGCCCGCTTCCACCTGGGCTAACTCTACACAAAAGTAATTACTAGAACACAAGAAACGTAGGGCACCTATACACACGCAGGGAGGCTGCTCTGACTGCTGTAATTATGGTGTGTCAGAGCAGACTCAATTGAGCCTACTGAGGCATGGTAATTGCCGTGCCTCAGGAGACTCCAGCGTCATGTGTATCAGCGTCCCTGTGCTGAAAAATGGCAGCAGGGGCGCCTTAATTAAAGCTTGTTCAACAAGCTTTAAAGTGCCCCCGCCGCCATTTTTCAGTATAGGAACACTGCTATATGTGACGCTCTGGGCACTTGAATTAGAGCGGCTCTCAGAGCACCCATTGTTTTGTGATGCCCACTGCACAAGAGATAGGCAAGTAGAAAAGGCAGGAGAGCTCTCATGAAAGAAGATACCAATAAACTTTCTATATATACAGCAGGAACAGCATAGTTTAAATGTCAACATGTGCAATGAGGAAGAAACCTGATAAATTATATAAAAATCCTCAACCAGCTCCTACAAACATTGATACAGTACAACTATAGAGGCACAGTGCTTGGTGAAGGTCATGCCTCTATATCACCATTTTGAAAATCAAAACTTTACAGAGTTGGTACATAGATTATGGATTACATAGGACAACCAGAACTGAAAATTCTCCGTCAAGTACTTGGGAGACAATACTGAAGAAGACAAGATGACTTGCAAAAATAGTTCAGCAAAGTTCCACCTCCTCAGCTCAGTGATGCAGAGGTTAAACTGATTAAAGTTTGTCAAATGCCAGCAGATCCTCAGATGAAAAGAGCTACGGGAACACAGAGTGGCATGCACACAAATCAATGTCATTTACAGAACTGCCATCTACTGATTCGTTTTGGCTGAAATAAAAGTCAGTCGTGACTACTGCCCTTTCAGAGTGCTGGGTGCAAATTTAGTATGTTGAGCTTTGTGTCTATAAAAAGTTTTGGGCATTAGCTTTACTTACCCAGCTAAGCATAAAACTTCAAGCTGTCAGTAGGGTCATGCCCTATCCCAACTTCCCAGCTTCTGTGGGGCTGCTAAACTCACTTGAACTGTCTGCCCCACAATGAACAGCTTTCAATCTTCCAAACTTCTAAGATGTGCAAAGCACTTAGAATTGGCAAGAAAGGATCTCTGCAGAGTTCATTAACTTCATGTAGTGAACTCTATGGGGTCACCAGGTAGCTCAAGGAAGCATAGCAGCTACAGAGGATGTTGGCAGTGAGGGCTAGCCCCATCTTATTTGAGCTCCTTAAAGACTTAATGACTGTAGAAGCAAATCTGCTTAAAGCTCACTAACTTGGCTGAGCTCTAAGCTATTTACCTCTAGAAACTCCTGAGAGACTGAGACAGTTCACAGAAACAGCACCCCTACCCACCACCATTCCCATCTGTCTTCCCTAGGTCTTCAGCAGCAGAAAATAAGACTGTTGGTCCATCGCATTTTCTATGAAAATGGTGATGTGTACAAAATGTGAGCATGAAGAATGTGGGGTTGTTTTGTTTTCTTCCTCTCTCTCTCTCTCTCTCAACTATAGTTACATGTTCAGAGCACTTCTTTCACACGAAAGAGAAAGAAATGGGCCAGAGTTCTAGCACGTAAAGACCCAGCTACTGCAGGAAACTGGTTAAGCGTGATATGGCCAGATGGTCCCTACAGGGGAACACACCTCATACTACAGAAAGAAAAAATGGTGATTTGCTGCCCTCAGTCTGATGTGGAAGAAAATTCTTTCCTTCCTCCCATTGGGGTGATCATTATAAACCCAAGTATGAGACCAAAGTACACCAATTATTTTCTGTACCACCCCCTGGCACTGTTCTATCCTACTTATTATCCGGTCTCCAACTATGGATAATCTGACACTCCAGGAGAAAGGCAAAGCTGCCCATCCCCCACAACATACATGCTCCCAGAAAAAAAACTAGCCAACTGGGCATCAGGAAAAGAAAAAAACCCTTCTTGAAGCCATGAAACGTACTTGATTAGGCCCAAATGCCTTAATGTTGGCTACAAGTGTGATATGCATTGCAGAAAATCCTGTTCGTTTGAAGCAAGGGCTGAATTGAGGAACACTCGGATTCTAAAGCCAGAAGGGACCATCATCCAGCCCCACTCCTCCAACATGCCAGAAAGTTTCTCCCAAAAGCTGGAGTAAAGCCTATCCTATAAAAGGTTTCTTAATGCAGCTTAAGGATTCTAAGCAAGGGGAGCTCATCTGGTAAACTGTTCCAATATTTAACACCCTCTCTGCAATGACATTTCAACCTCTTTTAACCTCCAGTACCATCTACTCTATCTTG